CCCTCACATATATATATATATATATATATATATATATATATATATATATATATATATGTGTAGAAGAAGAAAAGGAAGAAAGGGTGAAAGCAAAGAGCAAAAGGTGTATAATCCTTAGTGAATATGAAGGTGAAGAAGGTATGGCTAGCAGTTGAGGTGGAAGAGGGTGGTGGGTCTGAAAGATTTATGATTCTAATTTGGTATCTATATCACCTTCTCTTCAAGCACCTTCTGGATAAGGCTTACGAGGTTTATGGCTACCACACCCAGGGACCCCTTACCCTCTCTTACATCACTTTTTACTTTTTACTTTTTGTGTGCCTATGTCTCTGTATCTTTTATTGCAGAGGATTGGACTAGTCTACGTAACTATATAGGAAAAGGAAAATGCTTCATTCTCCGAAAATGAAAGTCGAAAGTTTGTCTGAATGATTAAAAAATTATTATTTTTTAATAAAATTATTATAAAATAATGATTTTATAATAAATTTATTAAAAAATAATAATATTTTAACCGTTCGGATGAATTTTCGGCATTCATTTTCGAACTCTGTAGCAAAGCTTATAGAAAATTGCTATTCTTCTAAAAATATTGACCAAAAAATTGTCCGAACAATTAAAATATTATTATTTTTTAATAAACTTATTATAAAATAATTGTTACTCAACTATATATCTATTCTCTTCTTTACTCATAACTTTTCATATATCCAACTTACATTTCTTCTTGACCAAAGACCAAGGTGTTTGTTTACGGATATCGTGTGTGTTTCTTATTTTTTTTCATCACGTATATCACTATCATTTTAAATGAGATGTATATCTATTATCTTATTTAATTCATACTTTAATGTTATCAGCTTTTCAAATGTACTTCCAAATCAATTTAATTTCAATTCTATTAGATTTTATTGAATTAGGCTTCTTTTTTTTTTTTTGCAAGCTTGTTTTTTAATTTTCAAGTACAAATTTTAAATAATGAGTTTGATTAAACTAAAGTTTAGATGATTTTTAACTCAATTATAAAATATTTTCATTTACATTCGTTTTCTAAATCATGAAGAGGAGTGTTAATTAACCACGCTTTCTTTGTTATTAAATTAAATATGTTAAAAATCACAAATTTCACAGGACATCCCGTTTAGGAATCGTCTCAGATCAGAGACAAGTTTGTGTAAATTAAATGGTGCTTCAACTTCATGAATTTTATGATCCAGAGAAGGTTAAAAATTAAAACATAACTTTTCAATAACTTCTAAATATGTTTGTTTTTTTCCATTTGCTTTTGTGTCCTAACATTCAGCTTTTCTGACCAGACAAATATTTAAATAGATAAAGATCAGAATAATGGGAAAAATTTAAGTCCCACGTTGACTAGAAATTAGACAATTGAATAGTATATAAGTGAAAAACAATCCTCATCTTACAAGCCGATTTTGTAAAGTTGAGTTAAGCTTCAATCCACTATTTTAACATGGTATCAGAGCCATTTAGATCCACTTTAAAAATGGACCACCCACCATTGATGCATGCCTTATAGGCGTGAGGGGGTGTATTGGGAAAAATTCAAGTCCCGCCAATCCTAGATCACTAAAAAGGGTCACCCACCATTTATCTACGTACCAAGCCCAATAGTACTGGACGTGAGGGGGTGTATTGGAAAAAACTCAAGTCCCACATCGACTAAAGATTAGGCAATTGAATAGTATATAAGTGGAAAACAAGTCTCACTTTACAAGCCAGTTTTGTAAGATTGAGTTAAACTTTAATCCACTATTCTAACACAAATAAAAATTATTTGTGGTTCTTTGTGTGGAGTTGTGGCTGCTGAAGCCAAGAGAGCCCAATCAGAATAAAAATTATTTCTGTTTCTTTGTGTGGATCAGAATTTTATGATGAACATGGTTGCTTTTTTATATACTAAGCTGAAGAAATTGTTGTTTGTAAATGCAATGACATTGTCTAATCTAATTTAAGCTGAAGAAATTAAACATTTTGCTAATTCTGAAATTTCTAAATTTAAATATAAATTGGTTTTACTGGTTTTCTTTTTTTTTTCAATTGGAATAATTTTTTTTTAAGAATTGTCAATTACATGATCAAAATACAAAGTTAGCAAACATGAATATACTCATACATACCCCTGACCCTGACATAAAATAATTAGTTACGTCAACAGAGACTGAACGAGTTGAAAAAAGTAAAAAACATAAATAAATTTGTAAATATCAAAAGTGAAGCGTAAAGGAGAAACACTTGAATTAAAAAATAAATAAAAAAGGAACAAAGATAATCACATTCCCGTCAATGTACCTTTCCAGTTTTTGTATCCACCACAGATGAAATTTGCAGGCGTGAGCACATTCCTATTAAGATAAAATAATTATATTCAATAGATGATTTTTAAAAAAAAAAATACTGTTAATTACCTATTCAAAAGCAAAAGTGACAGCCAAATACCAAATATAAGAATTATATATAATAATTATCGATCAATTATCCTACTTCCTCTAACTTTAACAAATTAAAATCAGTGGCTTAATATTGTGAGTTAGGTTGATAATTGCCTGGTTCCAATGGCTTTGAACATTCCTATCTAAAGCTGGAAATATGATGGGCAGGATCACTTGACGGTTATGTGCAATCAAGTTGACAATGTGGCCATTGTTCCATAAGAAAAGGGCCCTTTCAGCTACCTGCAACAATCCATGTTGAACAAAAAAAGAAAATGTTTTTTCAGCTATTAACAAACACAACCATGGAAACAAATGATTCTCAAAAGTATGGTTACAAGTGTATTAAGGTAACAAAAACAGCTTCCTTTCCACGGGTTCAAGGAATATGGAATTTGTAAAAACATAAAGAATATTTATCCTCATTCCCATAAAACTTTAAGATCCAACTGGAGTTTGCAAATGAATTCAGGATTACAAGAGTGACAAGCTGCTTTCATATCCTATCATAGACTTAATTAACACAATCTAATTAAGCATCTTGCACATATAAATCCCCCAACAAAAGATGCAATAGATATTATCTTGAACCCAAAGTAAAAGATTATCAAGCAAAGAACCATTTACTGTATGTCCCCAATTGATGTTTGTTCCATCATCAGTACAAATTCTCTTTTAAAAAATCAATACAAAATACACGACCTTATGTCTAAGAAAAAAAGTTCAAGTTCAAACTTCCAATAAGATCAGATAAGTTATCAATTTTTTTGTTGTACAATGGCAGCAATAGGATTTGACGTTTTGAACATAAGACTTGATCCAAACTATTCAAACTTCTTACCACTAAGTCGACCTTAGTAGATTTACATATGTAATTAGTTTATTATCATTATAACTCAATTTCAAGTCAGTAACTGAGCTACCATCTTACAATACATTCACAGCAGGCTACAAGACTGTTTCCCAAAAATCTTAATCCTGTGATAACCTCTGGGTAGATATCAAATACTGAAACTAAATATAGCTGCGATATAACAAGAGATGGTAATATTTAACTAAATTATCCTCTATAGTAACATTAATATTTAACTAAATGTCACTAGAATTTACACAAAAACAACACTTCACAAAGAGCTAGGCCACAAATGCCCAAAACTAACTCAAACATAAAAAAAATAAGAGAAAAGGGTTTCAATAAATCGACGTAGGAAAGTGAATAATTTTGTTATAAGTTTGATAAATAATTTATATATGTTCTACATATATATAAATAAATTTTAAATAATTACCTTTTATTTTCTCAGCCTACTCATGATTAGCATTGACCCTAATATTATTTTTCTTTCAAATTTATCGATAACAGCTTAAATAAACTTTTTCCCTTTATCACATAGATTTAATCTGATGGTTCATATATAACTGAGATGAATTTTGTAAAAGATTTCTTTTACGATTTTTCTAGACTTGTTTTTGTTTTTTTTTTCTTCTCCATTTCTGACAAAAGATACTATGGCCAATATTTTGTATCTTAATTTTTTCAAAAGAATTATTTAATTTATGATATAGAGATTTTTACATTATCAATTATATTTTTATTCCAAAAATAAAACAAACAAAACGGGGAGCGTTGAGAAAAGTAATAAAATAAATACAGAAGGCATCCATTTCAAGAAGTTAACCCTTTATAAGTAGATTTCGACTTGAGTGATTTGTTATTGCTTATTGAGAGTTGGTGTTCAGAGGGTTCTACCATGGCTGCAACATCAAATTCATCAGACAAGCAGGTGCACAAAGTATCCCTCAAAGTTATGATGGACGAAAAGAACAACAAAGTTTTGTTTGCTGAGGCAAAAAAAGATTTTGTGGATGTTCTATTGAGTTTCTTAACATTGCCTTTAGGGACTATTGCTAGACTAGTGGCTAAGGACTCCAATATAGGAGCTGTGAAAGTTGGCAGCCTGAGCACATTGTATGCAAGTGTTTCAAATCTTGAAGAAGAGTATTTATGGACACCCACGTGCAAAGAGATGCTATTACAGCCAAGGAACTCTATGGAAGATTATTGCCAGCAGCTGAAACTGAACATCGACGACACTGAGCCCACAAAGTATTTCCTTTGTGAGAATGCAAACTGTTATAGCAAGAGCAGTGGAAGCCTTCTGAGCACTTTTAAGAATCAAAGATGCAGTTGTGGAAATCTAATGAACAAAGAAATGTCCCCAGTAAAAATGACTCTTGAAAATGGGTTTGTTTATGAAACAGCTGATTTTATAATTTGTGATGATATGTCTGTGTTGCCTAATGGTCTTATAACAAGTGTGGGTCTGCTTCGGAAGCTTGGAATCAAATACATGGATGCTATTATGGAACGAACTGTAGACATCAGTAAGAGTGAGGTAAGCTTTTCAGCTGGAATGTTATTTTTGTCTTGATGATGATGAATTGTTGATATTATTATTATTATCGTCCTCGTCGTCTAAAATTAGTTTTTTTAATTTTTCATTTGTATAGGTTATTGATCTTCTTAAGTTTTCGTTGTTATCAAAGACTCCTTTGACAAGCTTTATCTTTGGGAAGAAACCAGGTGTTGTTAATTTTAACCCAATAAACCGACCCCTTCCTGAGACGGGAGAACAATCCTCCGATGACGATAAAAAGATGGTTGTGAAAGTACTGGTAAGAAAATCAGATACAAAGATTTTATTTGCTGAAGCAGATGAAGATTTTGCAGACTTACTTTTAAGTTTTCTGACTTTACCTTTGGGTGGAGTGATGCACGTGCTGGAAGGATGTTCTTGTGTGAGCAGCATAGATAAATTATACAAGAGCATTTGTGAATTGAGTCCAGACAGATATTAAGGTCACAGGCACTCAAAGAAAAACTATCTAATCCAAAGTGTGCCCCTCTATTCAGTTTCGGTAACCAGATATTACCAATTGGCGAGTTATGCTCGCCTGTTTATTATTGCAATACTGGCTGTTCCCATTCCAATGAGTTTCGTATTGATCTAGCCACAAAACCGAGGAGTCCTATTGGTGTTAAATGTTATTATAATAGTTTTCGATTGGACATTGTTGATCCAAAGTCCTTTGTCGGTAATTCAAAAGGCAATGGAGGATTTGCCAAAGGGCCATCAATGTACATGGTGACAGATGACTTGGTTGTGACACCAATCTCATCTGTTTCTGGTGTTTCATATCTAAATAGATCAAAAGTCTCACTCTTTGACGTGGAGGAAATGGTCATTAGCATTGGTGTGAAGGAGGTAATACGGCACTGAGAACACGCTTTTTCTTTTGACGAGTCGTATATTGCATACTTTTCTTTAAGTTTTATCACATTTCATTGTTTTTTTTTTTGTTTTTTTTTTATCATGATGCAGGCACTGACCATCCTAAAAGCTTCTTTGACCTCAACATCGGCTTTGACAAACAGTCTCAAACCATTCATTCAAAGCGTAAAGAGGGAAACTTGATCAATTACTTCCGTTTTGTTAAGTTTATAGGTCCGTCGGTGCTACAATTTAAATATTTGCATATGCCAAAGACCTAGCTTTGCTAATGTAGCTTCTCGAGATTAGTCAATGGTCACTTCCATCAGTTATTTTGTTTTGTTTGAGCTTCACGTATATTTTGGATGCTTGCTTGTGCGCCTTTGGTTTGGTTTCCTTTGTTATAATTTACCGTACGTGGTTCTCTGATTCTCTCTGGGTGGCCATGAATTGCAATTACCCCCAGTATTATTTTTGTTGCTCAAACTGATTTCAAGTGGTTATATTTTATTTGCGATACCTCTAATAACTTAAGGTTTAGACTTTTTTAAAATAATTTTTTAGTTTTAATATTTGAATTTAAACATTAAATCACAATTATGGTGTATTTGGTAAAACCAATTTATGAAAAACTATAAACTTGTAAGTTAATTAATTAACTTGAAAGTGATATTCAAGAATAACTCTTTCAGCTAACTAATAAAAACGATATAAAATGAAGAAAGAGTTTTATAATGAGAGAGACAATGATAGGGCAAACGGAATGATATTTAAATTGAAGAGGGTATAAAAGGATTTTAAGATAAGTAATGAACAATAAAAAAAGGAAAAATGAAAAAAAAGTTAATAACACTAAATAAATTTTATGTATACCAAACAAAATTATTTTTCGGTATATACTCTCTCCTTTGTGTTTTTTTTTCTTTTCATTTGTTATATAATAAATGGTATCTTAAGTTATTTTACACAAATAATATTAATAAATAAATAAAAGATGATAATGATTTTACAAAATTAATCTTATGATTAATTTTCTTTACTAAAATGATGCAATGTAATAATCACTTTTTAAAGAATATTATCAAGGTATAAATGAAAAAAAGTAATTAATATTATATTAAAAAATTAACATACACTTATTTTGGAATGTAGACAGTTCTAATTAGCATACAATAATGAGATTATTTTGCAAAACACAAACATTTGCGATAATTAGTTTTGCATATTTAAACTAAATATAGTGGAATATTTCATTGGACAAAACTTAAATACAAATCCTTGAATATAATTAGTATTGTTAACCAATCATAAATGAAATTTTACGTTGATAATATGCATTTATATTTAATGCATATATATTTCATTTATATACATGTTGCTTATATTATTGAAATAAAAATCTAATTCTAATTAAATAATAACACCAACCATGACTAAGCGCTACAAAAAATAAAATAAAATTAAAAAGTGTCTATAATTAAATATGATATATTTAGGTATAAGTTTTTTAGACATATATTCACACAAAATTTTAGTATTAATTTTGAATGAAATTCAACAAAATATAATATATGTCATTATTATATATACTCACACTTTTTAAAAAATTATGAGAATCTAATTGTTGATGAAAATATATTTTAGTGATAAATATTGTGTCTCTATAGCTTGTGTCACTATAATTTTATATATATATAATGAAGTTACCAAATTTGTTCTATTTTATTTAATTACTTTCGTTGATAACGACAACACAGCTTACTTGCTTTCTAAGGATATCTCCAACCCAAAAAAATACTCGGGAGTTTCTACTTTTTATTAAAATTTTACATTCAAAATTGAAAATAAAATTGTATGCAGGTGTATGTTAAATAGATTCATACTTACATACATTATATATCTATAGTAACACTTTTTATATGTCACTATATGTATATTTCTTACCGTGTTGTGTCTCAATTGATGTCCAACCAATAAAAAAATAACACGTTATTTAAAATATTTACTTGTATTTTTATCTCTTTTTTACATTAATTATTCTATCGTTCTTATTTCTTATATCATATTAGAGGATTTTCTTTTTGATCTATATTACCCTGATTCTTTGACTTGATTTCAGTTTGTTGTTTATCTTTTTTGATAATTTTGTCAAGAATGATTTAGGTAAATCGAATCAATTAACAAGAAAAAAATATTTTTCTTATCAATTGTACATATAAAATATATTATTTCATGCTTTTTGTCTGTCTTATGAAATTTTAGTTTGTCACTCTTTTCATTTGTGTTGCTAAGTTTTTGTTCATAAACACATATGCTATCTATCATAATTGTGGATAAGTGGTTGATATATTTGTAATTAGCTATGAAAATATAGAAAATAACTAGGACACAACATGGTTTGAATGAATAAAAAATAAGTAAGTTGAAGCTTAGAATCTCACTAGAAAAGATGTTCATGAATAGTATGTAGAAAGTGAGGACATCTATTTCGGTGAGATTCCAAGCCATAGTAATGTAATTATTTTAAATGTAATTATTAACATTTTTTTCTTATGATTTGGAGTAAAAATAAAGACAAATAAAATAACGTAAAAAGCGATAAAAATACAACTGAATATTTAAAATGATGTGTCAATTTTTTAATTGGTTGAGACACATTGATGAGACATGTGATTTGTTTCATTGCTCACCTTATTCATTTTGAAAACAAGTTCTCATGTCATAGATACTTGAATTCGTAAAAATATAGGTGTTTATCTTTCACTTTAGCATATCAGAAACATGTTTAGTTTAGCATTGGTAGCTAGCAGTAGAATTCAAATTTTGGTCAGAAGAACTTGAAGCACATGACTCTTTAATAATTCTTTAGATGCAATTTTTGACATCATTAAGTGACATGTTTATTAACTTTTTTAAATCTTTTCAAATATTCTCATTGCAGCCATGTCACAAGTAACAAACGGTGGATACAAAAAATAATTTGTTGATCATAAAGACTTATATTTGATTTTTATTATTGTTGGTGTAATTTTTTATTGATGAAATTATGACTTTAGTTTTTTTCCTATTTAGTTTTTTTTATATTTTAATTTCTTTAACTTATTAAATGATATAAATTATTCTTTATAAAGAATGGTAGTTATAAGTGTTCATAATAATGGTATTCAATTGCTACCTATGTCCATAATAGTGATGCAAATATATATTATTGGATAAATTGTTGTGTGTAGCATTAGTAGTACAAAATGATTTTTTCTAAGAGTAAAGTAGTGTATTTAGTTAAGATCAAATTTAATATTTTGAGTTCATAGTAAAATAATAAATAAGATCTTTTATATATATATA